ATATATATGTGTGTGTGTGTGTGTATATATATATATATATATATATATATATATATATATATATTATACAAACAATCATTAGTCAAAATATTATATATATAATTAAAATATAAAAAAAATGTTTGTGTGTGTGTAAAATTAAAATATTATGCAATATTAGTATTATTACTATTATTATTGACTTGATTTGTAACATTTTTACAATATATAATAAAATATCTGTACGTAGTTTGTACAGTTATTTTATCCATTATTTATGGATTTATTGCTGCCTCTCACCAGCTGTCCCATTTGAGGGCTTCCTCCCATCTGTGTGCTTTCCTCGCAGGCTGATGAAGAGCCTTCCACCTGTGACAAGGTTTTCTTGGTAGACTGCATCTTGGCCTGAGGCTTGCTTTGAAGCAGCTGTCGTACAAGCGAAGACAACAGACAGGAGTTTCAGAAGGAAATGCATCGCCAGTTTTTATGACTCATGCTGGAAGGTAACAAATCTCTTTATATACTTTATTGGCTGACATTATAAAAAAAGCATGATTGACATCTCTAAAGTAAAACCAATTCAATAACAATTTCCAGTTGGATAAATCTCAAGAAACCATATATATGTATATATAGGGTGAATGTTTTTGTGACCTCTGACCTTAGTGATGGTGCCCACGGCCTTGGTCCTGCCCTCTCTGAAGACGAGTCTCTGGTCCGTGTGAAAGTACTCGGGGGTCTTGATGAAGCGGAAGTGTACAGTGGCTTTGTCCCCCGTCCGTAAACAGTCTTTGTTCATGCCGATGATGGTGGCTGTCTGTCTGATACTGCCACAGTGAACTATGATACAATATCTTTTTAGATACAATTTTTATTTAAATTACATATTTTTTATACCTCTCCTTCAGTAAAACAAAAGCATTGATATTAGAAGCCAATATTGGGAGCACATAATATAAGGGTTAATTTCCCCAAAATCAAACAGGGAATTCATTTCTTTATGTATATGTATATTACATTTCATTAAGGTAAAACAGAGTAGATTTATACTATAATATTGGGTAACAACAATATTATAAAACACAAAATAACAATGTAAAAAATATAGTAAACTGAAACAAAATCATCTGCCTAAATGTGTGTATCCCCCCGTAATGTTAAATGTATCTTTTTAAATACTTTTTCTTCAGTACAACAACAGCAGTTTTCCCAATACAAACATTCAATTATCATTTTTGATACCCAATTTTATAAAGGTAAACCTGAAGATTTGATACCTGATACTTATTATACTGGTTATAACATATATTATTGTTGACATATTTAAGTAAAATGTGTTATTTATATATTACATAGTTATTTAATATTTAGATATTTGGATTTATAAATAAATAAAATGCTAAATAAATATTTGCTGCATTAAAAATTAAAATATCTTATTTTGGATGTTTTTGTTTATTTTTTATTTCAATAGTTTATATGTTCAATATATATCATACAACAAGCAAATGTTTTAAATATCACAAGAAAAATAATTGTAAATCTTTTTTTTATGTTTAATATAGATTACATAAAAAAAATCTAATATTTATTTTGAATCTTTTGATTAAATATTTTAAACTACATACAAAAAGTTACGTTTCAATATCATAAGAATAAAAAATTCAGTCAAATATTTATGCTAATCTTTTTTTATTAAATGTTTAACAGACTATATTAAAAATAATGTTAAGTAGGCCTATTTAATATCATGAGTAACAAAAATTCAGTCAAAATATTTAACATTTCTCTTGCCTACTCACCCATAGCTTGGTATCTCGGCGATATCGTCGTTGGATGGTGCAGTACGAGAATCTCTGCCTCAAACTCCCAGCATGCCTGTGGGTTGAGGCGGGGCGACACCATCACCATCCCCTTCCTGATCGACGAACGCTTGATCTTCTTCAGAGCGAATGAGGCTGTCTGCCCGCCGCGCACTTCTTTAACAGCCATGCGCTTGCGGTGGATGGATTTGATGGTGATGGGGATGAAGACGCCCAGAGGATCCGGACCGAGGAGCAGCGTGTCATTCAGCCGTATTAATCCACGTAAAGTAGTCCCTGATACTACGGTACCTACACCCTGAGGAACATACGAGAGGTTTAAACGATTGGGAAAGAGGTAGACAGAAGTACAAATACAGTATGTGTCGTACCGGCACTGAATACGTGTCGTCAATCTGAAACTCTGGCGGCTCATCGTCTTTAAATGTCGTTCTGGGAGACAGCAAGTTCAGGAACATTTTCAACAAGTCCATGTTTTCACCCGTCACATTTGAGATCTGGAAAATCGGACACATCCTACACACAAAAATAATGTTTTGGTTTAATTTGCTCTCATTACTACAGATGATATTAATACCTTGTTTGAGGTTTACGCTTACAAAGGTTCTTTGGGCAAAAAGGCACCTTGATTTCCAACGTTTTTTTCACGTAAACAATTTACCTGTAGTCACAGGAGTGACTAAAAATTCAACTTTTACAGTTTTTGTGTGGTTGGTAAGATTTTTTATGGCATTCTAGGCCAAAAAAATTGAGTGGCCCAAGTCAAAAAAGTGCGAGGCTCATCTTAAGTGTAAGTTTATGTAAAGTTTCAGTAAAATTACCTTTCTGAGCTGAAGTTTGAGGCTGTAACAATGACATAATCCTTGTTTTGCACCAAAACTGGAATTTTTCTGCATCCTGGAGACTTGAGTAACCTTTGTAATAACTTTAGCGTCTCTGCAACACGAAACCACACAGAATTTGTCTATAAAAAAAACATACACTGTAGGCATTTGCGGGATATTGTTGATTAAACCAGGAAATAATTTTAACTTTAATTTCGTTACATCTTATAACTTCCAAACTCAAAAAACCCAATAACATTTGCACAATATGCGCAAGGATACCAGGAAGTATTCTTGCATATATTACACAAACATGCAGGAATTACACCATTAGTGTGTAAGTTCATCCACACAGAGAAGTCATAGAATATTACACTCAAATTACAAAAATAAACCTTAAAAAAAAAAAATAAATTGTAGATTTATACCAGCGTTTCCCAATCCCAGTCCTCGTGCCCCCCTGCTCTGCACATTTCGTATGTCTCTCTTATCACGTACGGCGTTTGTTCTATTCGAAAGTAAGTGCCCTGCGAAGTGGACATCACCGGATATTCCGCCATGATTCCAGTTCGAAATGAGTGTACTGTATATGTTCCATTTAAAGGGCATTAAAGTGTGCGAGACGTGAATTTAAATTGTATTTATTTACAGAGGTATATGATGTCACACTCGTCTGTGTGTGAAGACACTGCAGGCAGTGGCGCAGCGCAAATCCATGAATGAATGTTCCAAAGAGAAGAAAACTTTTTTTCTTCGGATTTCCCCTGCTCAGGGAATAGGGAGCAATGAACACTGTATAGGGATCATATCAATCGGAACACAGTTCATGCACATTGCTCTTTTCTAACAAGCTGGTTATCTGAATCAGGTGTGTTAACTAAGCGAGACATGCAAAATATGCAGAGCGAGGACTGGGATTGGGAACCGCTGATTTATACTATCATATTGGTTATAGTATAAAATGTGTAAAAACAAAAGCATTAAAATAAAAAAACACAACATCTGCAAAAATTTGTGGGCACCTGGTATCTTACAAAATTTCTATTCTATATATAAAAAATTATTTTTTATAGTTTTTTTTAAACTTCTGTAGTAAAATTAGTCACATTACCTTGTAAGATGTTAGCGGGACACATGTCTATCTTTGTTACAACTACAAAAACAGGAACGTTGAGGGCCAGAGCGAGACCGAGGTGCTCTTTAGTCATGCCAATGATTCCTGCATTACTTCCCACCTTTGCGATACAGAAAAAGACAGAATTCATAAAACTTGAAACTGCCGAGTGCATACACCTGTGGCACACCTACTCCCTCTCACCATTAGCATGCAGAAATCCGGCAGGTGACCAGTCATGCCAAATATGGTGGTCTTCAGGTACTTCTCGTGGCCCGCCAAGTCGATGAAAGTGATGACCTTCGATGACCTCTCGCATATTTTGGTCCAGTCCAGGCTGCCTCCATGGCTGTCCGGTTTGTTGACCACCTGCCCCTCCTGGTCGAAACCCAGGATGTCATTACCGACGCTACTCGTCCGGCCGCTCTCCATCTCGTGTTTGTGGCGGAATAGCTTCTGGCGGGCGAATCCACGACCGTTGTCAAGTTCACCATGGGTTAGGACACCCAAAAGTGTGCTTTTACCAGCGTCTACATTACCTACGACTGCCACTCTGAAAAAATCAATGATTTTAAGCAAAAAATGTATAATTAATAAATAACATAATTTCTTTGTAAAACATCTCCTAACCTGACTTCCAGGAAGTCTGCCTCTCCCACTCGACGACGGATGAGATAATCGCGGAGATGTCCTGCTGTTTCTGTCCTCTCTCTCAGCAGAATCAGGTCAGCATCAACCTGTTCACAAAGTGACTGCACTGTAGTGACAGATGCTTCCATATCCCGCTCATCCAGACCATAATCACCACCGTCTGAGAGACAGAGACACCAAGAATTTATCAACACTTCTTAATAGGACATTTACGTCTGGGAAAGTCAAAATCAGTTTCTGAAATTATGGCAAAAAAGGCTTGAAAATACAATAATAAATATGACAGATGGGCAAAAGTACAAAATCTGGTCAAAACAAGACACATTAACAACCTTTGACCTTAGAGGTCACAAGGTCGCTATTGCATGGTGTCTTTTGCTAAAGAAGTGTTTTTGTCTATTAAATAAAAATGTTCAAAAGTTTTGTAAAAATGTTTTTAATGTTTTTGAAAGAAATCCCTCATGCTTACCAAGGTTGCATTTATTTAATATAGTAAAAATAGTCTCACCTGTTCCCATTCCGACCACATAGATGGTTTCTCCGCATCCTTCCTCTATTCGTTCTCGCAGCTGCTTTTGTAAACACTCATATTGCTCTCCTGTAGGGCTGACCAGTGCAAACTGACGACAGTTAACAACAATAATAAAAGTACTGTTAAATGTACTTATAGAAGAAAAACTAGATATTTGTTGAACATGTATTTTAATATATTAAAACGTCAAAATTTTGGTATGCATTCCATATATTTAATATCTCTTTACAGTGACCCCAAAAAGAATTTGGACACTTTGGAAGTGTATGAATGCCATTAAACTGGATTACAAAATATTACATCTATTCTATTTTAGTTTTAATGATAGCACAAGCACGCTTTTCAAACTTGTTTTTTTTTTTTGCAAAACGTTTGTTTTAAATGATTAAAACAAAAATCTATTTAAATAAAATGAATTTCACTGCTTTAGACAGCAGGCTATGACTAACTCTATTGAAGATACTAATATACTGGTATGCATTCCATATATTCATTTATATACAGTGACTTCAAAACTTATTTGGAATGAATGAATGAATAACTTTTATAAAAAGTAGTTTGGTTAGTTTTTAATTATTAAAATTATTTAAATAAAATGAATTCTACTGCTTTAGAAAGCAAGTTATAACAACTTTTCTGAACCATTTTTGCAAGTAAACCTATTTTCAAACAGTCTATCTGTAATTTAATAATTCCATTTTATTTAATTAAATGTAAGAATTTATTTTTATTATTATAAACTCTAAAAACATAAAACATCCATAAAAACGTTAAGCTTGAAAACTGGCAAATTAAATTTAAAATAAATTTAATAATTAAAAAAAAATCTTTAAAATACATTTGGTTTGATATTTTATAATTCTAAATATAATCAAATCTAATGAATACTTTTAAGTGTGACTTAAGAGTGTCAACATAATTTTTGGTCACTTACAAATCAGTATTTGTAGCAACTGTGCTGTTTCATGTTGCACTTTTTATTGCAGTTTTACATGCATTAAAAGTGCAACAACCTTATCAATCACAATGTTACTCATGGTCAGGTTTGATCGCACACATGCACATGAGTCTGGGGTCAGTACAGTTGAGTACAGTACAGAGTTGTTGCAGTGCCAGCTGGCGTTCACATGCACAGCCAACGTGTCACTCGCGTCACTTTGCTTTGAATTCAAAGTTGTTAAATGTGTTTAAACACCACGCATTTATCAAATAAACTCTTGTAATGGTTCATGCACACAGAAAAGTGTTCAAACGAACGCTTAGGCCTGAGAGCCACCTTGCTGGTGAGGTCTAAATGATCCTCGGCTTCCCCGTTCTGGTTGTCGCCGGCGTCGCTGCGCTCAGCGCTGGGCGAATCCTCCGCGCAGCCCGGGTCAGGAGCGAACATACATGCCGGCACAACCGACTCCACCGCCGGGCTTAAGCTGCTCTCCATCGCCGCCATGTGCTCCTCCAGCCTGCTTCTGGAAAAGAGATTGATCCAGTGAAGTTTAGTTTTTCGGTTCTAAAACCAGAGTAAGTTTCGTTTCAACTCTCAACTAGTTTCATGCACTTTTTGTATGAGGAATAAGGGGCCTCTGGGAGACACGCCTACTCGTGAATAATTAATTAGTTATTTGCAAGTAATTTATGCATTTTAAACGAGCTCTGGAGAGAGACACCTACTCGTGAATAATTAACAATGCAAGTCTGAAAAACTAATTATACATGAAAAGAAAAGAAAGTTAGATGTAATGTGCTTATCTCTCAACTCGTACTCGTGTAGACGCCGGAATAGGACATCCATCAAGACACGCCTACTTGGTAATAATTAATTCATATTATTACATAAAAGTGCAAGCAGGCAAGTCTGAACAAGTCTCTCTAGAAGCCATAAATTAACATTTTTAAATGTTATATATGATTGCGATATGTATCGATAGACATATAATCAAGAC